GGGAGTAGGGAGAAAGGAGAAGGAAGAAATGATGTCTTTATACTATAGTCTCAAAAGAGAACATGTACTTCTATTTTGCAATTTCACATATGTGTACTTCCCATCCTAAGAACTCTCACCTCTGCCTCTCTCCTACCCCTGTCTATTCTCCCTCCTCCCCACAAATCTCTCTTAGGCATTCACATCTAATCTTTTTGTTTTGTGACCCATCAGGATTAACCAGGGCCATCTGTGGGAGCCTGTGTTTCCAGCTGTCTGGTGCAGTCCTGTGGGCTTAGCAGAAGGTGCATAATTAAAGACAATGATTCCCCCTCTTTCAGAGTCTATCAACAGCAGATCATTAAGAGACAAAGGCTAAGCCCCATGGTCCCGGTCCCCTTCCTTGATAGATTGTTGATAGGGCAGATCTTGCGTAGGCCCAGTGCAGGTAACTACAGCCAGTGTGAGTTATTGATTAACAGATGTATCCAGTGTAGGGAGTGGCATTTGCAGCCTTGCATCCTGTCTTCTGGTTCTTTCACACTTTCCACTCTCCCTTCTTGAGCCTTAGAAGGGGTGGTATAAGAGACTTGTTCAGAGTTGCGCCAACATCCACTCATTTATTTTTCTGCATCTTCAGCAGCCATAATCTCTCATCATGGTTCATTGCAGGAAGAGGCCTCTCTGACTAAGGGTGGGACCTGCTTTTGTCCGTGGGTATATTTAAAGGCATTGAGAAGGGAGTTCACTGGCATTCAGTGATATGTGAGACCCATGAACCAAAAGTATCACCGTCAGTGTTGTAATTCCCACGTTATCCCTCCCATACTAGTTATTTCATAAGTGTTTGGTACATCAGAAGTGTTAGTCATGACTGGTAGAATGCCCTGTGTTCCATAGGATGTGTGTCCTCTTTCAGCTGGTGTCTGTGGGAAGGCTATCCTAAGTGAGTATTGAGGGCTGAGCCCACCTGGACATTAGAGATGCTAATATCAGTAAGAAATGTTAGGCATGGAAGCAATCATATTTCCAGAGAACTATATGAATTTGGGTTTGGGGTGTGAACATGCATGATAAGCCACTAAAAAGCTTTGCATTTTTTTTATTGACTGTTGATAGGGGAAATCCTGTCATCTGGCTTCTGAGAGAAGAATATAGTTTTCCAAAGTGGAATCGTTTTCCTAGATAAATGTATCTTGTGTTCTGTTCTGCTTCTGTGGAACTGACATATTTGGCATTGGATACCTTCCACATGAAGATTTATCATTTAATTATAACTAAGAACACTGACTAAATCCCAGCTGCTTTGGGAAATTACTTAACTGAAATGCAGGATTCTCAGTGAGAGACCAGACGCTTATTTCTGATCCACAGACTCAGGATTTTGATTCCCTAAAAGTGACAAGTGTTTTAGGCTCTAAGAAAGGGGCAGTCTCTAATTATGAGGTGCACAGTTCAATCTCAGCTGGAGAAGTGCAGACAGGAGCTACTCTGAGAGGTTTTCCATTGGTCTGAAAAGTGATCGAGTGCAGTCTCTCTGCATTGGTCAATCATGATAAAAGCATTCTGGAAAACATGCTCTCAATGCCATGTGACTAACTGTACCACTTAATTACTCCATTTACAGCAAAAGGAAACATAGTCTCTTGCTTCTGGGCTTTTCATCTTTGGCTTTCATAACCTCAAAACAGAATGAAAGGGAAAGAGCTTGCGGGAAGCCTGATTCATTATGGAAACTAATCCAATAGGATTGGTGAGCTTGGGGCTTTCTTTACCATTTGTTGTTATGATAGTTATCTTAGTTCTGAGTTCAAGCAATCCAGGAGGTTGTGTAAGAGAAAGAATTTACTGTTGTTTGGCAGTGCAGATGTTTTGATCCATTTTTCTCAAAACTTTATATATATATGTATTTATATATATGTATGTATATATATATATATATCTGTAAATCTTTTAAAAAGCATTTACTTTTCATTTTTAATAATTAAAATTTAATAATCAGAGACAAAGTCATCTGAGTACTAGCATTTTGAAAGCTCATGAGATGATTTATATTGTGCTAGTCAGTGTTTAATCATTATAATTAAATCCGTGAGACAATTAACATATAAGGAATAAAAGTTTATTGTAACACACTGTTTTGAGAGTTTCACTTAAGGGCCAAGGGGACTCACTGCTTTGTTCCTCTGGTGGAGACACTGAATGGCAATGGCAGCATCAGTGTGGATCAAAGTGCTCACCTCATGACCAGAAGCAAAAAACAAACAAACAAAAAAAAACAAAAAAAACAAAGAGGAAGTGTCCACTCTCTTACAATCCCATTTAAGGGCACACCTCCAATGATCTAAAGACCTCCCTTTGATGCCCATGCTCCCTAAAGGTTTAGCACCCTCCAAATACCACCACCCCAGGGAATAAACACCTTAACATATCATGTAGACCTTTGGGGAATATTCAGTACTCAAACTATCACAGACATTTGTATATATTAAAAAAGCCAGTGCCAGAAAGGTGTAATATTCCTCAAGCCATTGATGAGCTATTAGCTAGAAGAAGCTCAAATAGTAGACTGTTTTGGGTGAGTATGGATTTGTTGGCCTCCAGCTTCAACTAGACATAATTACTACAGATCTGGCTCTCTGAAGGTGTCTCCAGACTTTGGGTTCTACTAACATCTTGCCTCCTTTTGTCTCTAGATGGAAGGGAAAAGAAAGTAGTTGCCTGAAAATTCTGAGATATGACCTTCCCTCGTTTCTCCTATTGATACCTTCTATTACCTGGAGAAGGTACAAGTGGTTTTAGAAAAAAATTAAGAAAATTTCAGAAACTATCATTTTTCTGAATCACACACTACTATCACATTTTGTCACCTTTCTGTTCTCCTAAAAAGGTGCCAGTAGTTTTTTTTTTTTTTTTTTTTTTTTTTTTTTTTTTTTACTTCTCATATTTTCCTTAATCCTTCAAGATCAAACTTTCTCCATAAACTCGACCGAGTCATTCTTCTTAGGGAACTTTTTCAGAGATGTGCGGCTTTCTTAGTCAATTTTTCAGCCATGTTTGACAGTTAATCCTTCTTCCTTTTGGAAGTGTTTTTATCGTTTGTTTGTATATTCTTTTGGAGATTTTTTTTTCTGTTTCTTTCTTCTGATTCACTATTTGGAGGTCCTACCTGCCTCTCCTGAACTTCTAGGTAAACATGCCAAAGAGCTCTGCCTCAACCCTTGCTTCTCTTGGAGATGTCACCTACGATAGAGGGATTAGGAGGAACTTTCTGTAATTTTTTTTTCTTTCTCTGTTTACGCTTTCTGCCACTCTTATTTTCTAACCTGACTGGAATCTAGCTAACGTTAGAGCGCAGGACCAGCAGCTAAGTTGGTCAGTATTATCCACAAATGTAAGATTCTCCCTGTGTGTAAAGGACATCACTATGTACTCAGATCTCCTCTCTCACATACCTGGCATATGTTCAGTTGGTTCTGCTTGATTAAGGTGCACAGATTCAGCCACTTTCTGTCATCTCTTTCTTAGATTTAGCTTCATCATCTCTTGGTAGCTCATCTCGCAAAGCTTGTTTTCACTGTCTTACCCTGGAGTTACTTGCCTGTGTAGAATTCAGACCTACCCTTCGAAAACCTAAACAATTTTTGTTACTTGTTTAAACACCTTATTCCAGAGTCCTGCTCTTGTAGAGAATGTGCTGTCTCCTTTGTAGACTAAGCAATGGACACTACTTTTGCCCTGAGGCAGGATGGCGGTCCCTCCCAACACATATGCAAATGTATTTTCTCCAGTGGTCTCCAGAGTCCTGAAGAACTGATCCTGCTTGCCTCTCTGATTTATATCCTGTCACCCCCTGCCCTATGCACCACTACTTAATAGCTACACTGGCCTTTCTTACCTTGGTCATGCTTACTTTTGGGAACTCTCTGGGTGTTCATATTTGTGACTCCTTAATCCAGCTGTTCCTTACTTAGAGGTGCATGATCCAGGGCTGGAGAAATGGCTCAGAGGTAAAGAGCACTGACTGCTCTTCCAGAGATCCTGAGTTCAATTCCCAGCAACCACATGGTGGCTCATAACCCTCTGTAATGAGATCTGGTGCCCTCTTCTGGCCGGCAGGTATACTTACAGGCAGAACATTGTATGCATAATAAATAAATAAATCTTAAAAAAATAAAAAGAGGTGCATGACCCACCCACTGGGCACTAAATGTAGGGCTTTTCTCAAGAGTTATTTCTTCACAGAGGCCTCCCATGCATGCCCTGCACAAACATCTCCATCATTTGTTTTGCTTTTATTGCATTTACCTACCTAATATTTATGTCATATTGTCTGTTTTTCCCACTACAATCATAGCAAAACTTTATTTTACTTGTTCTCTGCAATGATACCAATAATGGTAGCAGAAGATGGCACATAGTAGGGGCTTATTCAATTTCCTTCTAGATTTAAAATGTCAGCTAATAAATGGCAGACATTTGCTCTTGCTTGAGCTGAAAGAACTTTTCTGAAGTTCCTAAAACATGCCACTGGTGTTACTTCTCGGGAATGTATAAATCTCGGTGTCATTTTTTCTTTTTTCTTCTAGTTGCATGCAGAAGTATGAAACTTTTTTATCATTTTACCAGGCTTCATACCCAACAGTGACCCCTGAGCAGTAAAGTGTCTTTAAGTCCTCTGTCTTTAGACTCACAAAGCACAGATATGAAAATGTTAGAAAAATTTGTCTGTGGAAAGATGTATATTTGTTATATACAAATGCTTTTTTAAATTTATGTAAAGATATTGAGTATCTGATGGAGATCTGAGAAGTAATTCTGTGATGAATTTTGTTTTGTTTTGTTTTTGTTTTTGTTTTTGTTTTTTTTCAAGACAGGGTTTCTCTGTGTAGCTTTGCGCCTTTCATGGAACTCACTCTGTAGACCAGGCTGGCCTCGAACTCACAGAGATCCACCTGGCTCTGCCTCCCGAGTGCTGGGATTAAAAGTGTGTGCCACCACTGCCCGGCTTTTTTTTTTTTTTTTTTTAATAACAACAAGATGTATTTAAAAACAGACTTCTCCAGTTTGCATTTTGAAATAGCTAACAATTATCTCTAACCCCTCATCTGGTTTCCTGTGCTCTGGCATCCTCTGAGAGGTTTCTCCTTGGACCTCGGGCAACAGCACCAGACATTATATCTCCAGAGGGAGAGGTATTAGTTAACCTTCTGCCGGTCATTCTTGTCTGAATACAATAGACAGATTCTCAAACCTCTTATTTATGACATGACGATCATCAGGGGGAAAAAAAAAAGATTAAGCCGAATTTGCATATTGAAAATAATGAAACACACACAAAAACCCCTGCAGATAATAAATACCGCTGATCCACCTATTTCAACCAAAGTCTGATTTCTTTCACTCCTAATAGCCGTGCAGTCCGTTGTACACCTTCTGCACGGATCCTTGCTTGAGCAGCTGCTTGACACCTTCTTTTGCCTCCTCTGTCAGCTGTTCTTTTGGAAAACCCACATCAAAAGTGATTATCAAAGAGCCCTTGATGTTGTTGTTGTCAAAGTTGGGAAGCCCTTCCCCTTTCTTCCAGAGCTTGGCTCCTGGCCTGGTAATCTTATCCCGGGAAATTTGTACCTTGTGATCATCCAAGTGAGTGATGTCCATTTCAAAGCCAACCAGAGCCTCAACTAGCGAGATTGTCACATTTGTGTACAAATCATCCCCTCTCCTCTCAAATATACGGTGATTGACAACTTTGATTCGGAATCGTAAGTCTCCGGGTTCTCCGTCCACATGAGGCTCACCTTCTCCAATGAAGGGGTACTCCATGCCATCTCTCACGCCGGGCTCTATTTCTACTTCTAGTGTTCGTTCTTTATTCACTAATTTGACATTGGGGCACTCGTCACACACCACCTCCTGGGTCATCTGGAAGCGCCCCGCTGACTGTACTGCTCTTGACCAGTGTTCTTACCATGCCCAGCACAGCTGCTCTGGCCACTAGTCTTAACATATGCACACAGAATGTGATATGAAAATTGTCCCAACAACTTCCTTCTCTTACTAAAACCAAAGAGATATCAGCTCAGTCCAGAGGTTGGTATGGGGTGGGAGGGAGGGGATCACTTAGTCTATCTTCCTGTATATAACTATGTTTTCTGAACTTACAAATTAGAAGCCCCTAGACATGTTTGCATGAATAGAGTAAATAATTCTGTGTCTGGAGAAGAGAGTACTTTGTCTGAGAATACAGCAAATGTTCCCCAGAGCACCAGGCAAGTTACCCATGCTGTCTGCATGCATCTTAACTTTAAGAGTTAAGTCTTTGAAAAGACAAGTCACTTATGACAAAATGATGCCATGCCAGAGGCTTCCTTTAAACAGCCCAGGAGAGGTAAGGACAGGGATGGGGGAAAAGACATGAAACAAGATTATTGGGTGACAACAACCATTTGAATCTCCACAGAGGGTGCATGAATGCTTCCATGCATATTGTTTCATGGTCTTTTATGTTTGGATTCTTCTACACTTAAGGAAATAAGCAGATAAAAGAAGAGAAGTTCAGGCTAAGTATCAGTAGGATGTCAACACATCTTTCTATTTGGTTTGTAACTCAGAGCAGTCTAGTGTTGTAATTCCAATGAAGACTCCAGTAAGTGCAGAGACTCCAGTTAGAAAAGTCAGCCCCATCTCTCCTTATCCTGATAGTTCTGCCTTGAAAGGCAAGCTGGCATTTCTAACTACAATGGCACCAAAGAGTATCCAATCCATCTTTCTTGTCCCCTTCAAAACTGAGTTTCTAACTTCTCTCTATGAGAAGTCTTTTTCAGTACTGGAGCAGAGGCTCTGAGGAAGTGTGGCAGAGCAGTCCACACAGGATCCATTTGTCAATGTCCTTGCACCAAGAGTCCTTTTCTGCCCACAGTCTCAGGTTGAATGTTTGCAGCAGGAGCCCTTAGCAGTGATTGCCACACACTGGTACTTACAGAACCTTCTGAAGGCAGGACAGCACACTCAATCCATTTTTGTCAATGTGTTCCTAGACTTTAGCAGCTGGTGTTTCTTTGAAGCCAAGAGAAAAATGACTTACACTATATAAACCTTCTGAACCCCTTCCACCTCATTGTTTTTAAGTCATGTGTTTGGCTGCCTCACCACCTGCCCAAGTACCACCCAATTAAGTGTGACCTTGGAGTTGTCCAGCATAGCTCTTTGTTAATTTCACCCATGGTCTGACTAGAGCTTTTGCCTGTCTCATAAGAGCAGTTTGCTTATTTGTTTGAATGTTGTCCATTATCCTTCCTTTTCTTCTTCCTCTTCCTCATCCTCCTCATCTTCCATTTAATAATAATAATAATAACAATAATAATAATAACTCCTTTCTGAAGCATCTTTTCTTCTGATATTGTTTCTGACAGGAAAGATATGTAATCAACACTCGACACCCTTTATTCTTTGGATACCCAAGCAAAGCTTCTGAAATGAACTTGTTAATCCACTGCAAACTTCATGTCACAGAAGAGTTTTTCCCAAGTCTACCTACACAAAGAGAAGAAGGAATTGGCTTAACATTAGGGAAGTCTTCCCACAGAGTAACCAAGGACTCAGGCTTCAGCAGGTAATTCCTACATTCTGTATGAGGACAGGCTGGCCTAAAGCAAAGCTGTGAGGTAGCTGGCATATGTTTGCCTCAGTGCATCACATAGGTTTTTCTTCTTTTTCCCCATGCCTTATTTTTGGTCCCCACCATGTGCCCTGTACATCTGCGTTGTCTCAATTGTTCTCATATTTTATAATTAATTTATTTGAAGGTATTGCAGATTTTAAATTTAGTTTCCTGAAAGTAAGATGGCTAACCACTTGCCACTCAGTTTAATGACATGGCTCGGATTTTGAGGATCCATATGATGGATGGAGAGAATTAACTCCTGCAAGTTCTTCTCTGATATGCATACACCTGCCTGCGGGTGTATTCACAGCACTCCTTCCAAATAAATGAGTGAATGAGTGAATACAATCTAAATATTAAAAATAGTTTATTTTCTTACTTGTAATAAAAGAACTATAAAGAGAAGAGAGATTTTAACCTAAGGATTGGAAGGTAAGATTTTAGTACTAGAGGCATTCTGGAAAGAACAAGCATTGTTCTTTTAATTTTTAATTTTTTTTTAGAGTGTGAGCAGACTCTTCATTGAAAACATTAATGAATGGGTGATGCTGGAGGGCTCATGTCTGATCTTTCCTCTACTAGTCAATTAGCATTATGACTAAGCCCAATCAGTATTGTTGGTTGTTTTTGCTCTTTTGGGGGACCTGCCACCCAGCTCCCAAATAGATCACACATGGAGCCTCATTCTTAATTATAAATGCCCAGCCTTAGCTTGGCTTATTTCTTACCAGCTTTTCTTAAATTATCCTGTCTGCTTTTTGCCTCTGGGCTTTTTCCTTTCCTTATTCTGTATATCCTACTTTCACTCTTACTCTGTGGTTGGCTGTGTGGCTGGGTGGCTAGACCCTTGTGTCCTCCTTCTTGTCCTTTTCCTCCCAGAGTTCTCCTTCTATTTATTTTCTCTGTTTGCCAGCCCTGGCTATCCTTTCTCCTGCTTCACTATTGGCCATTCAGGTTTTTTATTAGACCATCAGGTGTTTTAGACAGGCAAAGTAGCATAGCTTCACAGAGTTAAATGAATGCAACACATCTTTGCGTCATTAAAAAAAAATGTTCCGCAGCACAAACAAATGCCTCATGTCTTAATATAATATTCTGCAACAAATCAGCTTGTACATTTTGATTCCTGTCTTCTTCCCTTCTATAAAATGAAGTATTGGGCTAACAATATCATGTCACAGGTATCTCTACCTGCACACAGTTGTTGTCCCCTCTAAATGTGGGATAACTAGAGATTTGCTGGTCTGTGCTTCAGAGTCACCTCTTGGAAGCCACCATCTGTTTGCATCTTTAGAGGCTTGTTGTGTGCCTTCAGCCAACAGGCCTGAAAATTTCAGAAGCTAATGGGTCAGTCCTCAGAAGTCTGGTCAAAGTCTTATGAAAAATATAGAGGACTACCAAAGGGATCTTGGTATAAAGTGATAATCTCTACTTCCTGATTATGCTTTGTTCAGGATACATGTAGTAGGCAAGACAAAGTGGAAATAGTCAGTGTTAATGAATTATAGACTACAAGGTTGTTATAAAAAGCAAGAAATAAATAGAATAGGAATAGTCAATATAAAGTCATAGAGAAGGGTCATATCTACATCTTATTATTTGTTGTGGTTTGAATAGAAAAGGAACCTCACAAGTTCATGTGTTGGAAAGGTTGGTTCCATGCAGCTGATACTGATTTGGGAGGTTATAGAACTTTTAGGAACCGGGGATCACTTATCAGAGGTAGAATACTAGGAGGGGTCCTTGAGTGCATCAGTCTGATTCTGCTTCCTTTTCTCTTAACTCATTTGTTTGGATCTGTGAGATTATGTATCTCAGAGATTCCTCAAACTCTCTTTGTAGCCAAGGTTGACCTTGAAGTCTTGATCCTCTGATTCTGCCTTACGAGTCCTGGGATTACAAACACTCACCATAACACCTGGTTTATGTAGTACCCGGGATTGAATTTAGGGCCTTGTGCATGCCAGGCAACAATTCTATTGATAGAACTACTTATCCAGTTCTCATTTCTGCTTCTTGGTCCACCAATATCAGAATAAGCCCTACCATAAGACTTTGCTGCTTTGGACTGAACCACTATGCTTAGGATGGTATCACTGCTATGATGATATCACTTCACCCCCTTGAATCATGAAGCACAATAAAAGTTTCTTCCCTTAAGTTACTTCTGACAGGTGTTCTGTCGTAGCCACAAAGGTAACTAAAACACCATCCATCTTCACTGATCTCACTGAGAAAGTTCAATGGATACTTGTCAAATCTTTCTTAGGAAAATTGGCATTTTCCCTTAGAGTATTATAGTTAACGTTAATATTGCCAGTGGGAATAACTCAGTGGGAATCATATCTGTGCAAATATATTGGTTTCTGTACATGCTATATTTGTATGTATCAGTTCATTTACTCCACAAACAAACCCTTACTTAAGAATAGATTATGAGCTGGGCATTGGTGGCACATGCCTTTAATCCCAGCACTAGGGACACAGAGGAAGGCAAATCTCTGAGTTTGAGGCCAGCCTACTCTACAGAGAGAGTGTCAGGATAGCCGGGGATACACAGAGCAACCTGGTCTCATAAAACAAAGCAAAACAAACAAACAAAGAATGGATAATGTGGTTACTACAGTGTGACTATAAAGAACATAAAGGCAAAGCAAATGCTTTCTTTGTAATGGAGAGTCTCAACAGAGTTGAAAAATGCATAAGCAAGCACAAATACATCCACATAAGAAGCATTATCATATTTTCTTTGAGGTGACATGGTACAGAACTTCAGAACAGGATGAGATTAAAAGTATCTGAACCTGATAAAAATGGATTAGTAAAGGGTTAAACATGGCCTTACTGAGGAAAGAGTTGATTGCGAAATTGATGTTCACCACAAAATGACAGAAGTGAAAAGCATGGAAATTTACCCTTTCTCCACCTTGTCAGCAAACTCTTATTTCCAGTGTTTAGAGTTCACTGTCAACATGGGAGACTATCAGGAGATAATACTGAAATGATTGGAAGAATTTGATTGTGCACACATTGAGTTTTGCTTTTCTATTTGAGTCCTATGGGGGCTCTGTAATCCTATGAAAAAGAAGACCAGTTAATCCTTGTAGATGTAACAGTCTTATTAAATAAGTAACACAGAGCCAAATGCAGAGTTAAAAGCCCAAGAGGTCAGAGCAGTAGCTTAGAGCTGAGACTAAAACCACCTTCTTATCACCTGCTGCGGCTGCCGTCCTTCCCCTCAGAAAGACACCTACTTCCTGTGTGACTGTCA